GGAGCTGACGTGAGGGCAATGCGCCCGGCCACGACATCGGCGGGGACGACCAGCAAGGGAGGCCCGCTCGCGAAGGTTTTCGGGGCCACAAGGCGCCCCGTAGCAAGTCGCCACGCACGTCCTTGCGCGCGAAGGACCGCTAGCCCGCTAATTGGTCGCGGCAATGCGCGATGCGGCTGCGCAACCCCGTAGGGGGGAGCTCACGGATTGATCACGCATCGATCGTGATCCTGCTCGTCCTCTTCCGCTTCGAGCTACTCGACCGAACGGACATCCCGGCCTGGCAAAATTTGGAGAAGGACGAGCGAGAGGCCCCGAGAGAAAGGATCGTTGGAGGATCTGGCTATCGGTGAGGTTGCCCCTTGGGCGGATACCGGGTACTGTAAAGTCGCATGCAACGGGGCGGAGGGTCGCTCTCGCGTTCTGTCGTCGGCACGTGAATTTCGCGTTGGTGCGGTGGCGGCCATAAGCGGCGCCTTCTTTGTGTTACGGGTACGGCGTGGCCGGCGCCCAGCATGAGAGGCTCCCGGGCCCGCGTGCACGGGGCTATCGGGGATAACGTCGAGTCGCGACGAGCCCCCTGGAGATCGCGGCCTTGGCGAGGCGGAAGAGCTATCGCGTTAGGTATCGCAAGCGCGAGCTCGGCGGTCGCGGTTATCTTCCGTGCGCGTATTACCGGTGGGTGCGTGTGTGCGTGCGTGGACGCATGCATGTTAGATGTTAGATCGGTTACCGTTATTCTGTGTCTGTCCTCAAGGTTGTGAACTACAGCGTCGCGTCGGTGTGCGAGTACGTCGTCCGAGAAGAGGGCTTATTCTTAAAACTTTCCGCCGAGCCCCGAATGGAATCTTCGGCTCAGCGGCGTGCATGAGCGTGCATGACGATTCGCGAGATCCCGACACCGAGTCGGCCTGTTTAATTTGCTTGCTCTCTCTCTCTCTAAGTTAGCCGCTCGCTATCGCTCTCTCCGCAGCTATCGTGCCTGCCCGACCGCATGGCCGGATCGGTTCAATAGCGCAACTATCGTTCCGCTGCGTTAGAGTTAATTTTCTCTGTCTAACAATAATCTTTTTTCTTCCGCTATCTCGATGCTTTCTGTTATTGTACTGTCTTTCGCTTCTGCCTAGTAAACACGCTTATTATTTACTTAGTGGAGACAGTTGTGTTAACGCCCTGCCCTCGAAGATCCCGTCCATCCTCCTGTTAACCGGCCCTTACCCGTACCGCCCCCCCTCTGCCGTTAGGTAGAGTTAACCAGCCCTCACGCGAGCGAGAAACGGCTCTCGGTTTTTGGTGATCCTTGGTGCTCACGGAGTTTCGCGGTTTCCGTGTGGTTTGCGTTCCCGTTCGCGAAATCGATGTTGCTTGGAAGCACGTCTGGCGCCCAACTTTGTCGCGGCTCTCGATTCTCGCTCGACCGCGTGAGGTACCCTCCGGCACGAGGGCCGTCGCCGGCCCTCCGATCCGATTGATCCGCCGTTCAGTGCTGTTCTGAAAAAAAAAACCGTTGCCCTGCTAGCTTAAAGGGACCCAACTGTTTCTCTCTGATTTCGATAAGCGTTTAGTATAGTGTTTCACAGACAAAAATAAGCGACACGATTTTTTATACGTACACTTTTAAAAAGCGAAACACTCCTTCGAAGTAAATCAGTTTTTTCTTTCTATATACAGGGTGTCCCGAATTTTTTTGCCAATCACTTTTGTGTAGGTAGAGCGGACTAAATTGAGTCGAAAAGTCCTGTACCATTTTGCAATTTTCGCAATAGTTAACAAGATATTAATTACTAAATATATTGGTATTGAATAATTTTTTACTCAAATACTATTAACTTTACAGAAAAACTGCAAGAGATAAAAATCATTTATTTTCTTCTCATAAAGTTCTGAGAATTTTTTCAGAATTTTTTAATACTGTATTTTCTCATGTTGGTAAAAATAAGAAAATGCAGTACTAAAAAGTTGATAAAAAATTCCGAAAAAATTCTTAGAGTTCTATGAGAAGAAAATAAATCGTTACGATTTTTGTCTCTTGCAGTTTTTCTGTAAAGTTGATAGTATTTGAGTAAAAAATTATTTAAGACTAATATTTTGCAATTTTTAATAATTAATATCTTGTTAACTATTGCGAAAATTGCAAAATGGTAGAGGACTTTTCGGCTCAGTTTAGTCCGCTCTATCTACATAAAAGTGATTGGCAAAAAAGGGGCACCTTGTGTATATATATATATATATGTATATATATATATATAGAGGACGAGTTCGTTGAAGAAATTATTCAATTGAGATATTTTATCCAGAATGAAGAATTTCCTTCCAATATTCGACTTCCAGTATCATATTTGAAAGTGATACATGAAAATAAAATTGAAGCTACTTTCCCAAATGTTGAAATGGCAATAAGGATATATCTCTGTCTAGCTGTTACGAACAGTAGCGGTGAACGGTCATTTTCGGTGCATTAAAAAGAGTAAAAAACGCTTGTAGGTATACATTAGGCCAGGAAAAGCTAAACAACCTGTCAATTTTAAACATTGAATTGGAACTTTTAGGCAAAATAGACTTTGATGATGTAATAAAAACGTTTTTGGAGAAAAAAAGCCGTAAAATTACTTTATAATAAAATGTTCTGTATTTACATATAACAATGTGTATTTGTTTGTAAGTCTGTAGTAGTAGTTAAATAGATAAATAAATGTAAATTCAAGATTAAACAAAACTATTTTATAATAACGATTGTCCCTGTTCCTAAATATATCGTAGTAGTTGAATAGATAAAAATCCCAGGCTCATTAGTAGATTTATTCTGTAACTCTTAACGCAAGTTTCGTTATCGTTAAAAAAGGTAAAAAAAGCGCTAAGCGTGCGTGCTTCTCGTATGGAAATCACCATTTGGGCCGGTTTCACCAATGTCAATTACTTAATCGGCCGTGGAACTGATGACTAATTGCGTTTGCTGTTTGATGAAATTCTTTGTATATGATACATTCCAATCCAAGTTATAATGACTTTATTTCCCTTCAAAAATTATTACATGAAAATCATTATGATGGATAGTTGCTTGTCCGATCATTCCATGGCGCCCGGCGGATTACCGACATGCGAGTCGCAGCCGATTAATTATCGACGTTTTTATGTTTATTATTCTGTTCGCCGCTAGGCGCGTTTTGTATTTATGCCCTTCCGGCAGTTTATTTTGTCGCTAACCGT